GTTTCTTTATCAAGTGTTGTAGAAATATGACTTTGGTATGGCCAAGACTTTTAAAACTTACTTGCATTAGATGCTGAGCAGCTTCCTGCTCCCTATGCTTGCATTTTTCTGATGATAACTGTGCCAGGAGGGGGACATCTTCTTTTCCTTTCCAAATAAACATTCCTTCAGAATAAGAACATCTGGCATCAATCTCCACAGTGTCATTATCCTATAACATCTTGGGTTTAACCTGTAACTGCTGCATTTCATAATTTTCTTTCAAAATGATGCCATATTGTTGTTTGGAGGCATGTGGGAGCAGTCCTGGTAGCCTCTTGCTCACTGTCACTCTTGGTGTTCAGGCTGTTTGGGTGTGTGTGTTTTAGGAGACTATTGCTAGCGAGCAGCCTCCTGGGCTAGGGACAGACATTCAAAAAGCCCGAACTTGCAGTGACTCAATCTTTGCAGGTTAATCTAACCTGCATAGATTGAACTAATTTGCAAGTAGCTGCACTCTAACCAGGTTCACTAACTGATGCATAGAAGCAATTGCCAGCATTTATCACTGGATAAAGAAACTTCATTTGATATAAGGGTTTCAGGGTCCGAGATGCCTGCACTTTGATGGCTTTGAAGGAAGCCAGCAAGGTGCTTATCAGAACACAAATCTTATCAGTCCATCAAGAAAACATACTGCCAGGTACAACAGGCATTTTGCAAGGCATTTGCAAGCCACTGGCTTCTTGTTCAGACATTAGCAGCTGACCTAATGATTAGTTCCAGGAAGCCCTAAGTAGACACAGTTCTGTCTGTCTTTGTTCTGGTGAAATTGGAGACACACACACAGACACCTCTCACCATCAGCTAGCATGGGGGTGGCATGGCCAGATGCCAGCTGGGGTCTGTGCCACTGGGGTTCCTGCTGTGGGAGACTGGGCAACCCTGCTTCAGCAGCGAGCCATGGGGGGTGGGGAGCAGGGGGCATCCTGGCAGATACTGCTGTGCCCCTGCCAGGCAGACCCTGGCTGCAGACCCCCACCCACTTCTCAGTCCATCAAAACTCTGGCTGGAGAGCAGAGGAGAGGGGCAGCCCTGCTCTCTGCAGCAGATAGCCTAGACCACCTCAGCCCAGGTCTGAAAATCATTCTGGGATGCTGGGGGACTCTGATTTAACTTAAACCAGGAAGGGGTCTGGGACAGAAGTTCCATCAAATGCTTTGACCCAAGTCAGTTAAGTCTGATACTACATTCAACCAGGTTTATCTTAAACCAGTTGTAGCCATTTTGAAACTGCCTTATGTGCACTGAATGTATTCCTACGTTACCTCTTGAGCAATTCAGCTATTATTTTTTCTGTTTCTTTCTTTGAATCAGCTTCTTCCCTCATTAGTGTGTTTTTATTTTTTTCTTTTATCAGGGCGTTCACAGGACACAAGGCCTGTTCTTCCCAAGTTCCTTTTCAGTGCCTTAGCCTACTATAATTTAGCATAACTATGGCTTAGTATAACCCAAACTCCTATACACATATGTACAAATTGTGTTATAAGTAGCTGTGCTGGGGGCTGGGGCGGCTTAGGTGCTAAAGCATACCGTTGTTAGGCCAGAGGCTGCAAGTTTGTAGGCCAAAGCAGAAGTGCTCATGTCCTGGCCTGTCAATTTCCAACAAAATCTACAAATTTTGCTAAATACCTTGTCAGAAGGACATGAAAAAGGAAGACAAGGAAGTAGCCATGCTAGTCCAATGACTTCTTCTCCAGTGGTTTTGAAACTTATCAAGCTCTGTTCACATCCATGGGAGTTTTGTTATCAGTTCACTTATCTATATAGTAGAGTGATTCGAGTGCATCTGTTTTTTTCTACATCCTTTTATGACCTTTCACCTATTAATGCTAACCCTTTTGTTCTTTATCAGTTAAACATTTTATGCTCATTTTCTTTTGCAAGCTCCCTTCCCCCTCCAAGTGTTTATTAGACAAACATTATCTGAGATGGTTGAGTTAGGGACAATCCCCTTGAGCAGAAGTTTGGACTAGATGTGACCTCCTGAGGGTCCTTGCAGCCATATTTTTCTATGGTTCAAAGCTAGCAATGTTCTTTATTTTCTTCAGGCAATAGCAATAGATGATAACTTTCTTATTCTAATATATTTCCCAGTATCATGGTGTTTTCATAACCAAGCAGATGCATAGTGAAGCTGATATGACAGATAAGAAAAGAATTGCCTGTTTGAATGGGGAACTCTGTATTTTTTAATCTTCAACAAGAATTTTCTTAGATTTTAAGAAAAGGTCAGAATTCAATGACCGGCACAGGTTATCTTGGTGCATTGAATAAAGTAAAGAATCTTAGTAAACTGCTGTAGTAGATGAAACTACTACATTACCCATGCTCCTTTGCCTGCCCCTCGGTCCAAAGCCACAGCCCCCTCAGCCCTGCTGCTGCCCCTCACTCCTGACCCACAGTACCCCACATCATGCCAGGGCATGCCGGGACCCCTACTCCATAGGCTCCAATCCCCCCCTGACACACACACACAGCCTCCCATGCCTTCACAAATTCCTCCCCCCACACACCCCCACCCCAACCCCAACCATACAAAGTTCTTGCATAATTTGGCATAATTTTGAGTTTTTCTTTGTATAATTTTGAATTTTTAGCTGTGCATTTGAAATTGCAATGAATTGCAACTAATTTTTTTAATCATATAACTAGTCACAGTCAAATGTTTCAGTTGTTTGACAGCTCTCATTTAAAGGATTCAGAATCATCAAATTGTACATACCACTACCTGCATGTTGCTGTGTTCTTTTTACTATTATATGTGCATGTGGTCCCTTAGTTCCTCCAGTTGTTTCTTGCACCCACTAAATTTGCCATCTCTCAACTTACATCGTGCACTCTGAGGGCAAAGACCCGAGCCTTTACAGTGATTAGGAATGGGTGAAGGCTATTTCCAAACTATCAAAACGCTTCAGAGGACCAGAACTTTGGAACTGCAAAAACTGGAAAGAGAAGGGGAAAAAAAGAAAGACGGATTGCAAGGGTGAAAGCATTCCCAGTGACACTGTCCAGGTTTCCTACTGATTGAACAGTGGCCACACTGAGCTAAAAGATTCCAGCCCTCCCAGTGTGGCATTTTGCTCTGATAGAGGGATATGAGGGGCTCAGTTTGAATTCTCTCAGTAGGCATTTAACTGAGATATGTACCACTCCCCGTTCTCTGCATAGGCGCATATAGATCTGAATCCCTGTTAGGGGTCTCTGAAGTCTTCTGAGGATGCTAGATGCCTAAACAGGTCATTTTGACTCCTGCTTTTGCAGCAGGTACTCAGAAGTGTGGCATTGCTCTGCTAAGTTTAGAGCATGTCCTGAGATGATGTGAACCCTGCTGTGGCTGTCTGAAGAAGCCTGTGGATTTACGGAAAGAGAGATTCTGAGGCTGCATTCTTGGTTAGGCTCCCGCTGAAGGAAGAACTAAAAGCAAAAAATACGAAACAGAGGATGTCTTTGGTTCTCCTTTTGATGAGAAGCAAACACAACATAGCAGTGCAGACAATTTAACCAGATGAGACTTCAATGGCAGCCATAAAAAGGCTTATACAGTACTATACGTTCCCTCCTGTACAAGGGAAATTGTTAAGAGGATTAATGTGAGTATTAGAGATTTGAAAGACTCTGGCTATCTTCAACTAAATCCCCAATTTATGCATTAGCACACATAAACAGAAAGTCTGACAATGAATCTACACTATGTGCCAGCCCCTGGTATCTGTTAAGGGAGCTGGGAACATAGGCTTGTGCAATTAGAAGAAAAGTTGGAAGTTATGCAAAGATGGAAGAATGTTATTTGAACCACATATTTTCAAAGGCTTGGGAGGAAAGGGGGTGCAAAATTCAAATATCAAATTGCACCAGCCAAGGGATGAACTACAGTATACTGAACCCTTGAGGAACGATATCACTGAAGAACCCATAGAGAGTGGGGTACTGATTCCCAAAGTGATTTGGGAGATGCATCCATTTATATCTCATTTAACTAAATAAACATCTGTGTAAGAAGCTGTTCTTTGCCCCCACTGGGTTAAATGACTGTGAGTGCCACAGTACCAATGTAGTCTCAAGATGGGATACTGCTTCTGGCTTTGGGCAAGTATAGGTCATCTCCAGCCATCGTAACTGCTTTCTTCAGGAGATGCTGATCTACTAGGTTCTCGGCTGCATTTCATTAGTAGCACCGCATTTCAGAAAAGGCTGTTGCCTACTGCATTAAGCAGGGCTTCAAAACATCCTAAGCTGCAGGTTGCTACGTCCGTGTATGCTTCAGATCTGAAACCATTTCAGAAGCTTCTTGGGAATACATTCAGTGTTTGTCTCACCCTGTGTAAAGTATGCCTAGAGGTGAAGATGATATACGTTTTTAAATACTTGAAAACTGAAAATGGGACTTCACACAACAACAGAAAAAATTAAATAGTCCAAAGTTGATAGATTGAACTTGATATGGACAAAATGAAAGCAGTTGTGGGTGGTTCGGTGCTCCAGCACATTCAAGTATTATTACTGTTGTTACTTCTGGAGAGACTATGAACTGTCAGTGATGGATTAAGACCCTGTTGGACTAGGAGTTGTATAAAGCCAGGGGGAAGAAAGATGGCCCCTTGTTTTGAAGAACACATAATCTGAACAGTCTGTGCACTTTAGATATTTCTACCTGTCTACTTAGATTGTAAATACATTCAGCAGTGTTTAGCATTGTGTTTTCATAGGCAGGATCCTATTTCACTTCACATACCCGGGTAGCAGTTACCTAGCCACATAGCTGCCATTTTTGGTATGTACACCCAGTTTGTGATCCTATTTCATTCACAAACTTTCATCCAAATAATAAATAAAACTTCAGTAAAAGGAGCAATCTGAGGCCTGAAGTCTGCAGAGTGTATTGGCTTTTTGTATGGAGTTTATAATCTCTGTAAAGGTAAGTGCTAAGTCTCTTCATAGCTACTGAGCATGCACAGTAGGGCTGTGTAAAATGGCACCGTTTTGTTATGCCTTCAGTTTTGATGTTTCGACGGAACAGTGTTCCATTTTGAATTTCATTTTGAGTCAAAACAGCTGTTCCGTTCCATTCCCTGGAAACAGAAAGGCTGTTTCAACACTGTTTCGATGTTTGGCTGGGGATAGGAAGTCAGCCCAGCTGGGGTGCCTTCCATCCCCAGTGCTAGATCACACAGGGGAAAGGTGGCAGCACAGCTGGGCTGCTTTCCCATCCCCCATGCTAGATCGCATTGGGGGCAGGAGGCTGTCCAGCTAGCACCGGGGAAAGGAAACAGCCCACCTGGGCTGCCTTCCACCCCCTGCGCGATCTCGTGTAGGGGGATGGTGATTCAACCCGGCTGGGATGACTTTCTGTCCCCTGCCAGATCTTGGACTTCTCATCCCCAGCCTATGGTTGAAATGTTTCAACTTTTGAAATGTTTTGACTAGCCTTGTTTTATTTTGAGACTATTTCAACAGATTTTGTTTTGTTCTGATTTTGCTGTTTTGAACTCGAAATTGGTTGAAACAGTATTGAAATGAAATGGCCGGTGAAATTTGCACAGCCCTAATGCACAGCAGGCTGTGTTCTGGCCAGGCAGGTGTGCAGCTCATTATATATGTACCTGTAAGTATACATCCTGAACCTAAAATTCTTTTTGGAGCCCTCTTCTCCTTTGTCACCCAAGAAAGAACCCCCCCCCCCCGAAAAGGCATTCAAGTGCTTCTTAATTCAAAGACAGAGATTATAGCAGAATCCTCCACTGGCAACAAATAAAGCAATTCAACATACAGATGTCATCTACCAGCCATGTATCAGAGTCTACAAAACAAGCTGGGACTGCAGGTCAAAACCATTTGCTGAGATGATTCTTTATTAACAATGATAGAATGATCTCCCTATGCTGGAAAGTCTCACTCCTGCAGTCATGATTAGCAATCAACAGCATGCCTCTGCCAGAGGAGATGATTTTGAAAAGTTGCAAGATGAGCCAGTTCATAGCCAAGAACCAAATTAGACAAGTGCTCAATGCGAAATGGAAGAAATGGTAGAAAACTGATATGCTGGCTGAATATTACATCTTGGACAGACAAAAGTGGTATCTCTTGCAGTATGTTTCTGTAGTGGCCTTGGTGCTGCTGTGTCTTTGGCAAAGGATATTCATATTTCTTTGCAACACAGTTCTCTACAGTATATGGAAATGGCAAGCTCAGAGGAAACTGCTCCAATTTTTATTTAAAATGGAGTGACATGAAACCTGAAACCCATTAACATTAGATAGTGATCTGTAACTTTTTGCAAAAGACCTTTATATAATGTATGACCAAAGGTTTTGATTTAGATGACCAGCAGCCTGCTTTCCTCTCAACAAAGATTAAATGAACAGTGAAAATTTTAAAAATACTCCTAAAAAAAGAAAAAAAAACCCCAAACCCATCAAGAACCCTTATCAGTCATGACCAACCCTCCTGGCAACTCCACTGGCATATGGATATTTTCCAGCAATTTCTTAATGGCTAAAAGCCTTTACATTGTGTTTCTAGAGCCTTCAGAACAGCTCCAGATCCAACAGTTGAATATGGCAGGCTCCTAACACAGAAATATATCAGCAGTATAAAATCAGCTTCACTTACTGCCATAAAGTTACGCTGGTATGAATTAAGACAAATGCAAAAAATCTGTATACCTAATTTCAGGTAATAGGACATGGTTAAATGTTTTACTGGCACTAAGACCTGATGCTGGGTGTATTTGAAGTGCAGACCTGTAGATGCTAGATTGTTGGCGAGGCAGAAATCTTAGAGTTTAATTTATGATCTGCCAAAGTAGTAACTCTTTAAACAAATAGAGGACATCTATGGAAAAATCAGTCTCTCTGTAAAACTGTCAGAGTGTAAGATTCATTGAGGCTCAATGGAAGCCATTTATTGAAGGGAAAGTAAAGGAAACATAAGACAGAGGTTAGAAGCCTATTCAGAATGTATTTTGATTTGGTTATGAAGAAAATCAGTGAAATGTGGACCCGATGTAGAAAAAAATACAATGATTTGTGCCAGAGCTTGCATAAAGCTTTGTGAGCCAGCCAACTCCTCCCAGTAAGATTTTGACTCTAGAGTTTCCTGAAAGACAATTTAAGTGTCAACATTGTTCCTTACAACACAGATGCTCCAAGTAGAGAGGCAGAAAGAGAGACCATCGTATTCTAAAATGAAAATCTGTTCAATCAGCTGTGAGCAGCATCTTAGTTGGGTATCATCAGTTGGAAGAACGAGGTCTGAAGGAGGGGCTTGGAAAAAAATACTGCGTCTATTCCTTTTCCAGTGCGATACTCAAATTAAAGCTGGCAAAAGAGAGCCAACACTCCATTTTTTGCCATTTAATCATATATGAAAAGACACGCTAACTTAGTTTCATTAAGAGAATCCTCTTACAAAAAACAGTAATAATAATTTGCTTTTCATAAGCCAGGCTCTTCTACAAAAGATTTGGTTCAGCAAAAGCTAGTTTGTAATTGGTCTCATGAAATTTCATCCAAATAATCAAAAGTTTCAATAAAAGGAGCAATCTGGGGCCTGGAGTCTGCAGAATTTATTGGCTTTTTGTATGAAGCTTATAATCCCTGTAAATGTAAGTGCTACAGAATAACCTTTTGTACAGAATGCAATATTAAATACTAAGGTTAAATTTCAGTAGGACTTTCCAACTTTTGGATGAGGCTTTTTGTCTTTAACTGCAGCTCATGGAATTTTTCTCTTATTCATTTTGTAATTTATTTTATGGGAAAGCTCACTTCTTTCAAGATGGTGACTCACATATAAAAGCCTGTCCCCCTTGGGGATAGTTGCGAAGGCTTGGCTGCCAGTCCACAGGAGGGTTGGCTGCTGGACCGGAAGTCCAGAAGTGACTGGCATATTGAGGACCAGCAGCCAACCCTTTTTTACACTGAGTATAAAAAAGGATTGGTTGCCAGTCCGCGGTATGCAGGTCACTTCTGGTCTGCAGTATGCTGGTCCACAGTTTGCTGATCCGTGGTTTGCCGATCCATGGTCACTTCTGGTCCCCAGTTTGCCGGTCTGCGGTCTAAAAAGGTTGGGAGCCTCTGGCCTAGAGCTTTCCACAGAGAATGAAACTGCAATGACTTTGGGGAAAAAAACACCCTATAGGAGTAATCTCAACCTTCCTCTTCATACACACCAGTCAGGAAGGGTGGGGAGTATTGGAGCCTAGCTTCAAACTAGTAATTATTATAATTGTACAGACCCTTTGGTACGGAGGAGGAATAAGGCATGAGAGTAGCATACAGCTCCCTTGGCACGTCATGGCAGGGCTGAATCTTGTCCTAAAGTTACAAACTAGAGATCATCTAGGCCTTTGGGTCCTATGGGTTCACTAGGTTCATATACCCAGTTTAAGTTAAGTCATTCCCCTTCCCCCATAATTTATACTTACATTTATTTTTCTGAAGGAGCTCTACTGTCATCAGGAAATCTGTACGAGGACAGAAACTTTTCCTAATAACCCAATGTAACCCAACACAGTCAAGGCTTGCATTGCTTGTCCTTAAGTTATATTCAAAAGGTGCTCCTCCCATCCAGGCTCCTCCCCCTCTCCTCACCAGCCCAGAGGTCTATAGTGCGAATAAAGCAAATTTCAGTTCTCCGCACTGGAGGGCACTGGGTTTTCCCTGATTGAGAATCCCTGGGTGTTGGATTATTACTTACCCACCAAAACTTAATGCCATGTCATAATACAGCTGTACTGGTGGCATGGAAGGTGAAGTCCTATCACTAGCTGTATATAGTCACTACCCCCAATCCCATTTGAGTTGAACAGTCATTCAGCCCTGAGTCCAGGCCAACAGTCACCAGTTAAATTAGCAGAACTGCTCCATGGAGCAGACAGCAATGTGTCTTGCCCCACAAAGTCCTTTCAGTGACTGTCACCACCAGTCGGTCTATTAAACACTAAACCACTGCTGGTGTCCCGTGGTACCTTCTCATCCTTTATGTGTAGACTCCCTCTCCCTCGCCAAATGCTAGGCAAGTATTCAGATGATTGTCTTTTCTCCATATCAGTCAGTAACCTAAAGCCACACATTCCTCTAGCTCAGTCAGAACTTCTTTTGTCTTAAAGTAGAAGTGTCACTGGATTTTGTGATTCTTCTTCTCAGGTGAGTTCAATTCTTCCTCTTCTCAGGTGAGTTCAGACATAGCAGAGCAGAGAAGGTGAAATCTTCAGCAAAGGGTGCAAGAGCTGTGGAGAGTGAAAGAGAAAGAGAGCTGGGGATGTGAAAAAAGAGTTGAAGCAAATGAGAATAGGAGGGGAATGGGTGGAATGGAGCAGGGAAACACTGGCAACATGAGAAATGGAAATAAGATGGGAACTACGGCTACTACTAGTTCTAAGGCTGGGAAATGCAAACAGCTTTGACGGGCAGAGCAGGAGGCAGAGGGGAGCTGGATGACTGGGACTTTGGAGAATGGGAGGGACTTTCCTTCCCATTCCTCAAAGCAGAGATGAGAAGACAGGAATTTGAGAGGGAAAGGTGGTTCACATCCTGGGAAGCAGGGTGGGATATGGGTAGAGAAAGTGAAAGACACTGATAAGTGTACTTCGTTCCTAGGACAGAGAGGTAGACATGAGGGGAGGAGCTGGAAAATATTCTGCCTTCCCTGGGAAGCATTCCTCACTCCCGGCGGAAAGCTCTAGGACAGCGTTTCCAAACCATTTTAGACCGCGGACCAGCAAACTGCAGACCGGCAAAACGTGGACCGGCAAACTGCAAACCAGAATACTGCAGACTGGCAGCCAACACTTTCTTGTACTTGGTATAAAAAAGGGCTGGCTGCCTGTCACTTCCAGACTTCCAGTCCAGCAGCCAACCCTCCTGCAGACCTGCAGCCAGCCCGTCGTGGCCCGGTACTGGGCTGCGGCCCAGGGATTGGGAACCTCTAGTCTAGGAAGTGTGATAGAGGGTTAGCTGTGAGTAGAAGCCACTGGATTTATTTGGAGCCACATGCAAAGGGCCTTGAGAAAGCATGTGTGTGAAGGACACATCTTCTTCAAAAGGCCTGAGCAAGAAAACTGGGAGCCATGGCTAATGAGGCAGTGAGAAGGAAAACTACATTAAAATGAAGAAGGATTTCTACTTCCTTATTTGAAGGATGAGTGAGGGAAAGGAACAGGAGCTGAGGAAGAAGATTCTTGACTCCGTTGGCCAGACTGGTAGTAAGGAGGGACGCTGGAAAATTGGGTAGGCAGAAAACACAACATTAAGCTGAAGAATTGGCCAGAGATGAGATGGAGGGTGCTGGCAGGAGGGCTGTGAATGGGAGAGCGAAGCTTCAGACTCATTGATCTCATATAGAGAAAGTAGGTAGCTCAGTAGTCAGGCCAATGATGTAGGGGGAGGGGGTTCAAGCTGAAATGGTTGTTGCAGCTTAGCAGAAAGTGAGAGCTTGTCCAGGTGAGGAACGCCACTGAAATCACCCCTCCAGAATAGTAATTTTGGCAAAAGCCTCCTGTGGAAATTCTTCTTTTGG